TCGCGGCGCATGCCCACCACGGCCAATTTCAAAGAACTTGTAGCTGCCGCGCAGCGAGGGCAAGATCGCATTTTCCCGAATTCTCGGCGGCGACCTCGTCCAAGGCGGCGTCCCTTTCTGAAAAAGCCACGACAACAATTCTCACTCAACAGCTAGATGAATGACCATTCGTTTCAGCAAGTTCAAGATAAACCCCCTATGCCTGACGCACTGTTCCCCTCTCTCTGCACAGGAAGGCGTTAGAGGTGGTTATCCCTACATGGTGTCGCTCGTGCAAACGGGGATCCACGACCGCATATGGCACAGGAGTATTGATGCGCCCCCGCTTCGCCTTGACAGCTGCGGACAGTGTAGACCCTGGAAAACCAATACTCGGCCGGGTACCGGCGGATTGTTGAGTTAGGAGGCAATCTGATGGATGGCGAAACGAAGCAGATGATTTCTAGTCGTGTGTTTGGCTCGTCAAGGATAGAAGCCTTGCATTCTGAAACAGGCCTGCAGAACTGTTGAGCAGCGGCACATGCATTGAATTTTCCCAATAATGACATGCATATCTGTACAAATGTGTGAGAACATCCGCACATTCACACACTTCACCTGTAGATATTCCGTATTTGTTTCATCCATATTTTAGTCTATTTGTTCATCCAATTATCTGCTTATCCGCTTACTTATTCTTTAGCTTACACATCTGCGCATAGTACCAATCATGTCTCTGAGATGTGCCCAAACTTTGCTATCTTCGAGGAGAGCAAAATGTGCACTCCGAGCTATCGCTCGCATACTGTTACCCTGAACACGCGGCATACTTGTCCCCACTGGATCGCTTTCCTCGGGCCCTCAGAGTGTTGTGGCCTTGTCGTCTTCGATCGTCCCGGGGTGGAAGGAGCGCAGGCGGCAGCGGCCGAGTTCCAATGTGGCGCTGGTGAAGCTGCCCTCGCCATCGAGGCGTGCGACACCAATCACGCTGTCGAACCACCTTCGAATGTCCAGCGGCCAGTGGCTTGAGGCTCTCGGGGGTGGGGCCCCACGGATGCTGCGCTTCCGCTGGGCCAGCCAATCTTTTCCGACTTGAAGTCCGAGGATCAGGAGGCCGTCATTGGGGAGGACTGCAACAGGAGCAGCCTATGCGGTGGGCAATTGGCGAGTGTCTGATATGAGGATTGAAGCGAAGCAGGCGAGCTTCGGTTGTGGTGGACAGCGGGTCAGCGATCATGCTGTTAGAGGCGCCCGGGGGGGTTTGTCAACAGAGGAGTGGCGGAGTTGTACATCCTGGTTGGTGTCAATATAGATGGGGCGCCTTGCGGTGAATTTGGGAAGCCTGACCTCTATGCCGACGTCAGGGCGCAGCAGCGGTGGATTGAGCAGGTAATTGGCGGCATTGACAGGTGGCAAAGTACCAACGCATGAGGGGAGCGAACGAATGGATGAAGAGCGAATTTTGGAACGGTTGGCAGCATGTGGACAACATGGCGGAGATCCTAGTTTTCTCCGATTGAGCCCTGCGAGCATGGCCTAGACACGGAGCAATTCATGACGGCGGTTCTGGATTGATGTTGAGCAGGCCAATAGCAGTGGTGGTTGGTGAGACGACCGAAAATGGAAATGGCGAATTGCGCCGAGCCGGGTGATTTTTCAGAACAGCGCCTGTGGATTTTTTCATTGCCATGAGCTTTCGATGCACGCATTGCGTTGTCGCTGCGGTGCCCGATTCTGTTGACTGACATATTATTGTTTACTTCATTAAAACTGCTGGTAGATTTGGTGGCTGTGTACCCTCAGGAGCGGTGTGGCCAAATGCCGAGTGCTGGGAATATGGTTGAAGTTGGTGATCCAAACACACAGCGTGCCTAGAAGTGGCTTGGGGCTCGCGAGGGGTTGTAGTTGCGACCAGAGACAATTAGCGAATATGGCGCTATTTTTTCAATCATGTACTATGTGTGTTGTAGGTAGGTTTGTATGTTGCGAAATTGTGTAATATGTTGCGGAAATGGCGTCCAACAGATACAAAATACAAATCACCATACCAAAGAGGGGCGACATTTATTTTTTGGATTCGCCTTGGATCCAGAGGTTATGGCAACCTTCCTTTAGCTCGTGGACTCTGTTGAGCGTTAGCTGCGAATTTTCTCTGCGCTTCTGTTGTGAGGCTCAGCACAGACGAGAGCAGTGGAGGAAGGAGCTCTGGCCGGGGAAGCGGGGACTGTTCCACGATGGTTCGAAGTCTGTTTCATGGCACAGAAAGGCATTTGATTCAAGTTTGGATCCATGAAGTGTAGGATCGGGTCAAGCGCGTTGCCCGTAGGCGGAGCATAAACGGACCTAGTGCGCTGAAGCAGGGTGGATGGGGTACACATGCGCCATGGTTTTGAATTACCAGGCTGCTGGTGCGCGTCTGTTGAATGCTCTGATGACTAAGCTATGGATGGTGGACACTTGACATTCCGTATTCTGAAGATATTTAATCTCTGTGGAGAGCATTTCCAGTACATGGAAATTTGTCTAGCATATCCCAGAGTTGCTTGCATTGCTGGAATTCATCAGCAGAGTGCTAACTGACGTTGAGGTTTTAGCAGAAACGCAGTGTAGCAGCGCGATGAAATCCAGTCTCCCGGGATGGAAGTCCCAGCAGTTGAATATCTGATTTTCGGTAAATTCATTTTCATGGCAAGGATTTGATACTATTTATCTACTTCCTCTGTCCCAAATTAAATGAAACAATCTGTTTCCATGGTGTTATTTTTATCAAACTCTCATCAGTTTTGCTTGCAAAACTGACCAAAGCATCATAACTTACGTTAGTACACTTTGCCAAATTTTTGTGAATAACGGATAAGTATTGGTCAAATGGCGGTACTCTCAACCCACAGGATTTTTCCGAAAACCCCAATTTCTCAGGCTGGCGGCCCACCCCCCCAATACTGGCCCCTCGACCAGGTCGCTTTGTGACTGTCGGTGCGCAGTGCAGAGTGGATATCTGCGGCCGCCGCTGTGTCTGCAGGTCCAAGGCGTCCCTCTCGAAGCACAGAGGGCGCGGAACCAAAATTTGTACCGCTCGATCGTCGATCGCGACCGTGGATTCGACAGCCCATTCAGCGCTTCAGATTTGGATCGGAAGCCGAGAAATCGCCGAACTTCGCAACTGCGGCGTTTTTGAAAAGACTACCACCATAGGTGGGGTTGCCACAGGTGTTTAGGCAACCAGGCTTGGTTTTTACGCCGTGAAAACTGATCGCATTTACGTTTTTACCCGTAAAAGCATTTTTACGTTTTTGCGTGTAAAAATGCGTAAAAATGCGTAAATGTAACGTAAAAACTGGCCGGTGTACATAAGAACAGTACATACAGACTTACGGAGTCCGGAGAGTGGCGGCCAGACGCCACGGAAGGGGCAGAAGACCAGTTTTTGTTAAATGCCATTATCGCCCTTGCCAAGGGCGAGGTGGACATTGTGTTGCGGGTACTGGAGGTGATGGAAGACTGATCATTATACGCAACTTTCATCGTGTAACCTGGGTGTCCCAGGGAGCCGCAAAAACGTAAAAATAGACGGAAAATAGGGCCTTTTGCAAATTTAAGTTTTTACACGTAAAAACGTAGAAGTAAGAACGTAAACGTAAGCGTAAAAAACAAGCCTGTAGGCCACCACCAAAAGCTTGGAGAGATGCAATTGTCAGTTCTTTGCACAACAGCGAATGGCTCGCTGGAAGCGGCTGTGCCGGGCACAGGTCCCAAGGAGCACTTCGATGCCGTTCAGGCCGCTTTGAAAGACGCTGCTGCAAGAGGTTTTGGATGCCATCCTTGCGGAATGCAACAGCACCTGGGGTCTCCGAGGGAGCATTCACACCCTCCATTGGTCGTGTTTGGTGGGATTGATGCCCTTTTGTTGGTAGCTGTTCCTTGCACCAAACACACCATTGATTGGAGATCGGCAACGAACGGAGAGCGTTCTGTGCACACAACAGTTCTGCGGCTAGTCTTCATACACCAAGAGACCTGTTGGCAACGGTGGATCCCAGGTATGTCCTTGCGTCGCCGTGGACGGTGGCGGTGATTTCTGCAAATCCGCGATGGCGAGATGGGCAGCCATGCACCACCTCTGCCTGTTGTCCATCTCGATGGGTGCCGATCGTTGCGATAGAGTCTGAACGAGGTTGGCCGCTCTACCCTTCCAGTGCCCTGAAGTCCAGAAAGAGGGGCTGCACTTGTGTGTGTTGGGTCATCTCGGACCTATTTTTGGCGGGCAGTGGACGCCATGGGAAGGACCGGACTCTGGACTGGAGTAGTGCATGTTCAATGCATTGCCAAATGCAGTGTACTTAATCGTTCCCTCTGATTTTTCGGACTACTTTATTTATCCAACACATGGCACCTTCTTGGCACATTCTTGGCGCATTTCTGGTGTTGGACGGGATCGCCTGTTTCATTTGAGTAATCCAATAGCGACGCAATTGCAAGGTAAGAACAAGGCAATTACATATTACCTTGCAATTACGCTGCACTACTACACTGCTGTTAGATTGCTGTTACCTTGAAGGTAACAGCAATACAACGACAGAGTAATAGTAATGTTTTAGTAATACGAGCATGCCTTGCTCCTTCTGAGGCAGCCGGTGGCCCCTGGCCTGTAGCTGCATCCGCCATATTCCCACCGCCTTCCTGATCGCACACGGCATGCTTGGACCCCTTTCGAAGCACAGTACAAGCGGCGGTCGCATGCGACCCTCGCACTGCGACCGGGCGGTTGCAGCACGCTCACGTACGGGAGCAGTACTTCCGTACATTCGCCATCTAGTACCTGGCGAAGTTGGTGCCTCCAAGTCACGCTGATCTGCATATAGTTCTCCCGAGTCTCTCCAATTCCGGCATTTGCTAACAACCTCTGGACGCAACCAAGTTGTGCAACTGACGCCTGCTGCTACCCCCGCCGGCCCGTGAACCCATCGCCGAAGCCAGCACTCCAACAGGGCTGCCCCCCCCGCGGCCGCTCAGCTCCACCGATGTCTCCCTCGGCGGAGTACAAGGGACACACGCACCTCTCAACCATGATCTCGGGCCCCACGATGTCTGGCGTCGTCGCTGGGAGGAAAGCGACGGCGCTTGTCCTGCTGCTAGGTGAGCGGGGCGCCTCTTCTTCTCCCACTTCTTTCCAGGGATTTCCTCCCACCCACCCTTCCTCCCCCACCCCGGGCGCCTTGGCTGTGCGCCGCCGATTTCTCTTTGTTTCCGACCCGTGGCCGCGCACCAGAAGGCGTGGGCCGGCGATGTTCGCATGTAGTCTGTGCGAGAATTGAAGATCGGAAAGTGCCCCGCCCCCTTCCGTCGCTTTGGCTGTGCACCGCCGATTTCGCTTTTATTTCCCAGCCGTGGCCGCGAACCCAAAGGCGTGGGCGGGCTATCTCCGTGTGCTCAGGGCGAGGACTGCGGATCTGTATCCAACGGACGCCCTGCGGGGCGCTGTTATGGGAACGCACCATGGTGCCCCTGGGGATAAGACATCGGCGTGGAGGTGCCCTCCCGCTTCGGTCAGGTTCAGATTGCGCAGTTCTGGGCACCGCGAAAATCCTCCCCGTCTCGGTGGAGTCCCGCCCCGAGACGGACGCCGTCCCGAAAACGACTGCCGGCGACGCTGGTAGCGGACGTCGAGTAGGTAGTCGCTCCGAAGGCGGCCGCGAGCGTCCGTGTCGCTCCGACACGCCCGTAGGTGCTTGCCTTTACTGAAGATTTCCCCCACCCCCTAGAGAGCCCGTACCGGAAGTTTTCCGAGACGTTGGATCCGACGCCGCTCTGGTACTTGGCGTGGCGCTGCGGCGCACCGGGACGATGGAGAGGTTTTGGGGGTTTCAATCGAGCGTGTATGAGCAGCGATGCGTGCTATGTCCAGGTGGCGTCGGAACTGGAGAAGGCGCAAGTGGATCTACTGTGAGTGCATTGGCCCTGGCGTTCCGAGGCGGTGACAGCGTCCCGCAGCCAGGGGCCTGTGTTGAGCCGGCCCCGCCTCGTTGGGGCCCACCAAACAGGCAACGTGGTCCTTCCAGCACATCATCAATTGCCTCAAAGGCATCTGATTTTTTCTCACAAAAAGGAGATGAGAAAAGGACAGAAAGAAGAAAACAAGAACAAGAGAAAAAGAGAGAAAAAGGGAAGAAAAAGGAAAGAAAAAGGAAGAAAAAAAGGAAAGAAAGGAAAAAAGGAAAAAAGGAAAAAAGGAAAAAGGAAAAAAATCTCCTTTTCTTGTACTCTTTTTTCCTTCGTGCCTTTCTTTCGTTTCTCTGCCTGGACAGAATGCTGGGCCTGACGTTTGGTTGGTGGCTTTTCCCGCAGAGCTGTTGTGCTGGAGCTTGGCGGCGGGCGACGCTGATGGGCGCTTGGATGGCGCCGCTGCCTCTCTTGACACCAAGGCGAGTGTCCATCGGCGGCCGACGCGCAGGAGGCGGAGCTCGGCTGCTGAGATCGACCGACGCGAGCTCCCCTCCAGCAGGTGGCACAAACCCGACGGGAGACGCCCCCAGCAAACTGCCTTCCATCGCCCTGCGGGAGCGAAACGCATCCGCGAGTGGTGATTTGTGTGCGAGCGACTCGGCGGGAAGGGCGCTTTTTGCCGTTATTTGAAGCTGGAGTTAGCGGCCCTGTCCTGCACACTTGATAAAGAATGGAGTCAACGACCAGGGGAATTGTTTAAGATCAGTAGACAACTAGCTGTCGCTCCCCCCCATCCACCCCCACCCCCACCCCCACCTTCTTGGGTTGCGCTCCTTGTTGCTGTTTGCTATTCCAGGAGCGCAGGAACCTCGCATGCTTGCATCCTTCAACTTTCCCAGCAAGTAAAATCTACAAAATTCGTTTCCTGTTTTCTTCGGGAGGGGAGAGGCACGCAGGGCCTGAACTCAAGTGCCCTTTTCTGTGTTTAACCGTGCTCTCTTGTCTTTGCTGCACAGGGTCATAATTTCTTGCCAGAGTTCACAATTGCTCTCTTAAGATATGGATTCATTGGTGTGTCATCGTGGTGCCTGCAGGGTTTCTGTCAGGCGCCCAGCGGCCGTCTGCCTTACCTGGTGTCTATAAGGAGACCCGGGAGTCGAGAGCATGTCTGCTCTGGCGTTCTTATCGACCCAGAGCACGTTCTGACAGCAGCGCACTGTGTCGATCCTGACTCACCATATAGCGCTGGACGCCGACCTGTGGTGCACATCGGCGCCGGCAGTGTTGACCAGATGGACGAAGACCTTGAGGTAAACACCTTGCACTGGTCTGAGACACAAGCTCTATTGCACTTTGCAGCTAGGGCACTGGCCTTGCCTTTCTGTTGATGGACCGCACTGTGTTCATATGCACATTGGTTGTATACTTTGTTTATTCCCCAGAGGTGCTGCCATTCTCTGATTTAGTGCTGGCCGAGCACCATTCTCACAGCCTCGGTCAGGCCCTATGGCTTGAAAGCGCCGCCATTGTTCCATGTTTGCCTCGCAGTGCTGAGTCCACCCCTTGGATAATCATTGCTAAAGTATTGCAAAGTGATGGTCGATGAGTGTGTCGATGTTCTCAACCAAGCTTTGTGAGAACTGAACCCATTGTGGTTTGAAACCTTGTCCACCATGGCCACTCGTGGTGGGAAGGCAACGGCCACCGAGCTAACCACTGATGCGCTGTAATGTAATGCAGACATGTATGGGATAATGTTCAAGCCACAACTCCTGTGGTTTAGACACCACTCACCTAGCATACTTCCTTTAATGCCAGGGAGGGCCCTATCGGGCTGCCCTTTTGACGTGGTGAATGTTTTGGATGGACTTGTGTGATCCTGTTTCCAGGCCAAGCCCTGCTGGTGTCGAATTTTTTGCTGCGCGGAGCAAGATGCTCCTTGGGGGAGAATTGGCGCCCTTTGGTTGATCTTTGCACTGGCCAAAGCAATTCCCCATTTTGCACTGCTTCAAAATGTGTCAAAATGGGAACGAATCGGTATTTATAGATTTATCGATATTTAAGATCGTATTTCAAGCCTAAAACATGGTGGAACGGGTCGAAGATGTTTGAACTCAACTGTATTCCTGCAACTGTTTTTCCTTGGTGTTGGCCTACAACCTACGCTATTCAAGAATAGCGAGTCAGCCGTTTCCTCGGCCTCCACTACAGTGAGGACACCCGCATTCCCTTTAGAGCCGCCCCTGCCCCAATTTTCATGCCTCGCTTGTGCACTACGGACAGAAGAGTAGTCTCCAATTCTCCAAGCATGCTCGCCGCTGCTGAAAGCTAGCCAATAGGCATGCAGCAATCCCCTTGCAATTTGCTAAGTTGCAGCGAAATGTGCAATGCACCCACATCACTTAAACATACTTTCCAACAATCAAGCAGGTACTGAGCCAGCAACTGAAAATGCGACAAATGTGGTGTAACTCTCCACAAGCGTAAGCAGCGCCATCCTCCCCACGGGCATTCAAACTGCAGTTGCTCACGAGGCTCACGCTCACACTCCCTGCCACAGGTGCAAACAGTGAAGTCGACTACAATACACAAAAACTGGGCTCACGACAAGTACCAGCGGTCGCCCTTCGACATCGCCCTCCTGAAACTGGAGCACAAGTGCTCCCACGCCACGCCCAAGCTGCTGTCAGACCATTTCACACTGACCACGGGACAGGCGCTTACCGCTGCGGGCTGGGGTGCCGGGAGCCAGGGCCCTGCGCTTGGCGGGCCCATCTTCGGGTCTCTGAAGCTGGAGCGGCAGGAGTACATCTGCGCCAAGCGGTGCAACGCCAGCGCGCTCTGGAATGGGGCCGTGCCGGACGAGAGGCTGGTGTGCGGCCTGAATGACGGTCGGAAGTCGTCGTGCATTGGTAGGTGGCAAGGATTCCAGACAGACACTGGTTCGGTTGCTGCCCCCACTGTATTTGCTTGTATTGGTGGTACTGATGCCTGCGCGCTGCCAGCAAGCATTGATGTGTATTTCTTTTCCGGTTCTGACATAGAATTATTTGCGTACTTTACTATTCTAACACAAAAATCTTAGTGTCATTTAATTTGGCAAGGCTGTGCGTAATGTGCACGGATACAGCGTTATCACACCACTGCCGTCCGGAATGTTCCCTGTTTCCTTTCGTATTTGGCTTTGGCATATGGATCTGCCTTGAGGTAGATGTTGCCCCTGTGGCGGCATTGACACCTGCACTTGAAAACTGTTGACTGGCGTTGCATGGGCCAATGGCATGGCATTCTCAGCTGTTCATACATTATGAGTGAGCAGCAGCAGCACCTATAGTGGCCATGAGGTAAAGTGCTGAGAAAAATATCTGCCTGTGCAGGCAAAACTCGTAAACAAATGGCAATGGACAACATTGAGAACAAATGCATAACCGGTATGGATAGGGAATCCCTAGAAACGGATGAAAATTGCAGTAAACGACGAACGTAACTAGCCAAAGCAATGATGAGGAGCCAGATGACAGTGAGCATTCAATATCCACTTGGATGAAATAGAATTCAAAGAAATGTGATACACTGGTTTATGTCCAGCCTTGTGGCATTTCATCCTTTGAAGTTGGCAGTGATGAATCCACGGCAGTCCTCGTTGGCGTACGGAAAGCTATGCCTACAAACCATCTGGAGTAACTCCCATTGCTGTCCTGAAGCTGCAAACCTGTAGCCCGCTTCCCAGAAAGAGCATGTCCGTTTCCAATCCACTGACTGCACTGGGTTGCGTTCCCAGTGGATTCTGGGTGTCCACTGCTGCTCATGGATGCCCCGGGATACGATGTCGCATCTGGTCGCCCTATCTTCGATTTCGTTGTTGGAATCAACGTGGATGGTGCTCCGTGCGGGCAGCCTGCGAGACCGGACATGTACATCGACATCAGAGAGCACTCAGACTGGATTCGAAAGAACTGTGGCGACAGAGTCGAACTGTAACTGGCTGGCGCCGGTGGGCGCCTTATCGTGCATGGAATCTTCGAAACAGTTTTGTTGACGAGAAAGTACTTGGCCCTTGGGGAAACAGTTTGGGGTGCAAACTACTGTGATTTTATGCTGCTGGATGTCATTCGTATGCACAGTGTTGAGTATGGTCAGGGGAGCGCTCCTTTCGAGTGCAGCACTACCCATTTTGGGGCTGGATGTCATTTGTATGCACAGTGTTGAGTATGGTCAGGGGAGCGCTCCTTTCGAGTGCAGCACTACCCATTTTGGGGTGAGTTGAATTTCTCAGAGAAGAATAATAGACGAGACGTGGTCTTGGGGATTCTGGGGATTGGGGAGGAATGTTATCGATTTTGTCAATTTGCATTGCCTGACCGGTGGCGACAGGCGTGCCGTACTTTGTCATTAGCTGTTGTTTTGCCTGGGATTGTTGGGGAAATGCTCATAGAACCATCCCATTTCACGAAGAAATCTGGGACGCGTTAGTGGAGTTGAACAGTTGGTGCCAGTTGACATTAGTTACGGTGGTCGTCATTTTTTGCGAACGATCTGAATAAAGTCCTTTGCCAGGACAGCACTTGCAATCGCAGTTGTTTTTGACGTTGGAAATGGCGGGAGCTGTGACCTGCAACCGCATAGGGTTAGCCGTGGCGTTCTTGTTGAATGTGTCAGAATAGGTCCCAAGAGGGCATTGCTTAACGCAAAGTGCACAATGCTCCAAGACATCAGTTTGGGTTGAGGGTGGGTAAGGGAAATACGTTTTGTTCTGATATTTCTCCACCGATGCAACATTTAGGCTGCCTCCTGTGTATTTGTCGCCCCGAAGCCAAAATCTGTTGCATGAAATCATGTGATGTCCCCAGTGGGACCCCATCCCAATGATGATTTCTGCGGTTGGTGTTCTTTCCGGTGGCGCGCAGGTGATGATTCGGGCGTGAGTTTGGCTCCACGCAGCATTCACTTGCTTCTGGCAGCCAAGGATTGAATTAGTTCGTGAAGGTGAAAACTCTGGGGTGAAGTAAGCAGCAGTAAGTTGCGTTTTATTATGCCATGGCATTATTGAACTGCAAGTTGGGGGCAGCTGCAGACCTCTGAGGTTTAGCTAATTGCGTAGTTAGGACAGAATCGACTGGCACCAAAAGGCACCCGAACTGCACTTGGCTACTTCGAACATCTCCATGCCTCGGATCCCCCAGATATTTGAATTTCAAGTTTCCGGGGGCTAACTCGATGATCTGGCATGGCTTCAAGGATCCTATTCTTCAACCCACCAGAATCGTCGCAGCCCTGGCCTGTTCCTATCGACAAGTCCTGCAGCTTGCCCGCCAAGTTCCAAGGGTTCAATGTTCCACTCGGCTAAGATCGTTTCTCTTCGCCTTGAAATCCGAGCAACACAAGGGGCCCATACCATGGATATTCAGCGGAAATACTAGGGCGCATCAAATGGTCGCCAGGCGTGTCGTACATTTGATGGTGATGCCATTTTTGTGCATATATACAGTGTACTGGGGAACAGAGCTGTGAAAATCAAAGGCAGTTCACAGCTGACAGGATGACAGAACTTGCATTCGGACGCAAGTTTTTTCCAGGATACTTGATCGTTGGAGCACGTCTGCGGCAAGGCACGTGTGTGGCTCACCAAAGCCTCGTTTCCAACTGGCTTCATCGGGTGACGCACTCCACTGCCCCTGCGTATCATATCAATAAGTGCGCTCCTGCTGTCAGTCGATGCCTCAAGACCACGCGGCACTAGGGCCACTGGCGGCGTGCCCCATTACCGTATGAGCCAGCGGAATGCCGCCAATCCCTGTTTTGGGCTGAAATGTCATAGCCTGCTCCATAAGGCATCACTGCTGAGCCAAGCCGGTGTCGACTTGAGGATTGAGGCTGAGAGAGGTGGGGTTGAGATTCACGGAGCTCCAGAAACCAAACAGGTCATTCAAAAAGCATCTCGTCGTAAACTAGTGCATGCTAGACTCTTTTGCCTGCGGCGAGAAAATGAATTTCAGCCTCTCAATGCGAGATGATGAGAAGAATGCACAATCAACACGGCACAAAGGACAATGTATTCAGGTGACCCGTATGAAGAGGGCGGAATATTGGGAACGTCGATCATGAAGTAAGGGCTGTGCGGCGGGGGGAAGGCGGGCGACAGCTGAACCATTTGGGTGTGAATTCAATGAGCATTTGGGTGTGAACTTGGGTGTGAATTTGGGTATGAGTTCAATGAACATTGGGGTGTGAACTGGAGTGTGAATTCAATGAACATTTGGGTGTGAATTCGCGTGTGAATTCAATGAACATTTGGGTGTGAATTTTGGTGTGAATCCAATGCACATCTGGGTGTGAATTTGGGTGTGAATTCAACGAGCATTTGGGTGTGAATTTGGGTGTGAATTCAATGAACATTTGAGTGTGAATTTGGGTGTCTATTCAATGGATATTGAGAGTTTTCCAGCTACGCTTGAACGAGGAGGCGTTGAACATGCAGTGAGTGGATATAGAAGCTTAATTCGCTCGGTTCTGTGCATTCGAATCGAGCGGGGCCACGGGTAGCGTGGGATCGGCCATCTTTGCAGTTCACAGAATAGGTCCATAACGTGAGGAGGGGTTGGCTCGTGGCATGGCAAGTGCATTTTTCAGTTGACGATGAATCTTTTGCAGTTCCAAAGATTGCTTCGACGCCACAAGTGGCATGGTCCACAGGGCAGAATTTGAGACGCACTTCGACAAGATGCAGCTGCCTTCCAAGCTCCCGGAAATCCAGAGACGCGCTGGCGTGCGCACGAAAAATGAATGGCGCTGCTTGGACAAGTGAAGGGGAAGGGGGTCCTCCAGCAGCACCATTACTGTTTCGAAGCTTCCGAGAACGAAGTGCAGCGTTTTGCAAACCCTCAAAAGTGACACCTTTCCAGATCCCAGTGAACTGTGATCTTCTGACGGAAGAATGCTGCGCCACCGTTTGTGTCTTGGATCTCGATAGAAACGCTCACCCAGCGACATCACATTTCTCCGCACAACATCACAACACTGATTCTGCAACTTCTCCCGATAAAGCTCATTTCGCAGTATTCCCCATACTAGTCCAGAGGTTGGGGCTTCGGCCCAACGTTCTGCACTTTTGCCGTCTCCTCTCTCGAACAGAACCTACAGGTTCACTTTTCCTTTACGGAAAAGGGTAACACCTTTGGAGCGATGGCATTCGCATTTCTCTCCCCGAGTTCACTCCTGCACAGTCACAGTCAGGGGAACAACCGAGGCCCTCGCACAACGATGCAATTCGCCATCGTCGCGAGAATGCGTCGCAAGAATAGGTGGCCCGCTGTCGTAAGTGGGAATGTCGCCGTGGAAAGATGGCAACGACGGCTGGCTACGCTTGGCAAAAGACGTCAACGGCACCAGTCGAAGACAATACCTCGATGACAGAGCAAACGACATAAACTACTGAAATACACGGCTGCACAATGACTACAATGACTACAGGGCTGTCACGTCACAGGAATCCACATGGGAGACTGTCAGAACACCACAAACTACGGGAAATGCATCCATGCGAGGGTTAAGACGACTATGAGGACCGGGACGACACAAAGACGTCACAGGAGCTGGAGTGGGCGAGGCCCACCACACAGTAAAGTACTGAAAGCACCCAGCCAACGCAGCGCCACGGCGAAAGACGTCACCAGGAGAACCGGGGGTATGCTCAAAACACAACAAACTGCTGGACGAAGACATCCACATGTAGTCACAGCAACAAGGATGGTGCAGCCATGAAGGTCGTCACAGGGACACCGCCGAGAGAAGGCTTTGGGTAACATAAAATACTGAACACAGGAGCAACCATTGCGGCGGAGGCAAGACATGCCGAAAGGCGTCACATAAGAGTGAGAAAAGAGCAACGAAAGAGTGAGAAGTGAATGGCAGGAAGCGTCAGGACGGCAGACGTCACGGCAGGAGCTGCGAAGACATCTTGGCATGGCGAAAGGCGTCGTGGAAAGGAGGGAAAAGGCGCCAGACGTCACTGCATCAGGAATTGCGACAGGATCTGGGGCAGGCGTACAGGGAAACCGCTCAAGGAGCACCACAGGAGAAACATCATTACAAGTGATTACGGTGCTACACGTACAATGAAATGCACAGTGTTTGGCACCAAGAAAGACCAAGAAAGTGGAGCGAATACCCTGAAGAATTGCTACCCATCTGCACCCATACTGACGACTATGGAGATTTCTGAAGATTTCCACTGTTCTACGCCATTCTGCACTATTCTACACCACCTAACTGACGATCATAGACAATCCCGAACCACTGCACGGCTATATAAACGAACAAAGGTGCAAATGAAGAATAAATGAAGGCCACTTGGGGCGCCGAGACAGCTTGAGGAGGCGCTGCCGGGAAGCTGCCTTTGCACCACTTCGGGAGAAATTTTGGTGGCTCAGAGGTGACGCTGTGGCAGCTCAGAGAAGGAGGCCGACGGCTCGCTATGAGGACAATGCCTGGAGGAAGAAACGTACACCTGAAGAGGCACACCAATGATGCCTAGAGGGGCACTAGAGTGACGAACGAGCGAAGCGACGAGAGGCACTTGTCGTTCTAGGGACTGACACTGATTAAATTGGGTTCTAAACTATAGGAAATGCGGAATGGACATTTGATTGATAGCTGAATGATGACATTTGGTTCTGAACCGTTTGAGTGACACTTCGGGGAGACTTAAGCGTGAGCACGTGGCGGTTTCCTCCTCTCCCGCCGTTCGGAGCAGCGCTTTAACCTCTCTATCTTCTCTCTCTCTCTCTCTCTCTCTCTCTCTATCTGTCTGTCTGTCTGTCTGTCTATCTATCTATCTATCTCTTTTCTTTGGTGCCTTCGAGGCTCACAGCCCTTTGGACGCGTGGCCTCCAGGGCGCCGTGGCTTTCAGCCCCGTCAGGGCTGTGGGCCGTCTGGCTTGGAGCCTTTCGAGGGCTCTGGGCCGTCTTCGAGGTCCGAGGGC